TAATAATTTTCAAGATCTTAAAATTCAAAAGAAGAAACTGGAAAGTCAAATTCTTGTGCGTAATATGCATAGTTAACATGTTAATATTGCATGAAAAAGGATTGACAAATAAAAACTAAAGAGTCCTTAACAGGTGCTGTAGCGATCAGGAGTTCCAGAAAGGGGATGTGGGGACGATTTATCTTGCCTGACAGGATATGTTGGTCTTAAATCAAAAAGAAAAATGGAAATTTTATGTAAGAATCTGTTTTTCCATTAAAAGTAGATATCAATCAAATGCAGCTAAATAATAAACTTTATGAAGCTAAAAGTACAACAAAGAACATAATAGCTTATTTCATTGAAAAGAGAAGAGAGGAGCTAGTCATAACTTACTTCATTCATAATATGAGTGTACATAAACCTATAAATACTCATTAAGATATACTAAGTACTACCTGCTACCCACAAAAGATCATTGAGACGCACTCTCCCTAGCAACTATCATATGGCGATCTTGCAAAGATTTTGGAATCGTTGTAAGTATTTTTTGACGTTTAAAATCATCCTTGTAGCCTACATTAAGTGCTACAAAAGTTGAATTTTTTTTAGTTTAGGCTTAATTAATTTATTTTGATATTAATATGCTAAGTATTTGCCCTACAAAAAAAGAGGGTGACATTTCATATGAATAAAAAAAAATCATTGATATAATATAGTAAACATGAATGGTCAAAGGCATATACTATAGGGGTCACAAGATGAGCCTTGAGGTGCTAGGATTGTCTTCTAGAAGCAATTGAGGGGTTGCTTGATAGTTCTTCAAAAAGGATGGAAGATCGATGAATAAAAAATAAGAATAAATCATGCATGGCAGTAATAACAGATGTCATCCTTAGCAGTGATGATGTGCATCAGTGGTGGTGACGATGATGGGCATCAACTGATGGTGGCGATATTGGGCGTTGGTGATGATAATGACGTCAGACATCAAACCTTATTAGTGAAGACTACATCCACGTTGATGGTGGACATTAGCATTTAGCGGGTGTCAACTTTATTGGCAATAATTGGCTTTGACGTTTTTGGTAACAACAATTGTCACTATTGATGGCGATGGTAGGCATTAGCCTTAGCAACAATTGTGGGCATCAATATTGGTGCACAAAGATTTCAAACTCCTAAGTATCAAATTTCTCTCTTTCAATTAAAATCTCTTATGGGACATCATTTAGGACTTCCTTGAATGTGAAGTGGTGATCTTATTCCTTTATTCAATAGGACTTACAGAAGGGGCGCATCTTACATTAACCTACAATGTCTATATATATACTGAATCAATTTATAACAAATGGATACTTATCGTGTACGCAAACACGTAAGCTTGATCCACTGTAAATAAATTTCTAACCCGCTTGCTGACCTCTTCTTCCTCATCTTGGGGATTAGTCAAAGTCATTGGCAATATTAGCAAATAACTTTCTGATTTATCTTAGTTTTTATTGCTTCACTCCCTCTAAATCAAGCTAAACTTGAGAATTTTAAAACCAAGCTTATCAAATGTCATAGGGCTAAATATTCATTTATTTTTTAATATTTATGTAACTTAAGAACTTATTTTTGTGTGTAAGTAATAGGTAAATTTTATTTTCTTTTATGTTATCAACTTTTGCACTCATTATTTTATTGTGTTATCTTTTATTTAAGTCGAATCTTTTATGCGGTATAAGTGAATATAGACGTTATATCTCCAAATAATAATAATATTAGAAAAGTTTACTTAACAATGAATATAGGTTTACCTCACAAAACAAAATATGAGAGAAGGGTATATCCAATATATAAATTACGACACCTTTAACTAAGTAGAAGGTTTCTCCTAATTTACTAAAGTCGCATTCAAATATGTAGAAGGTGTCCTCCTATACAATCGATAAGGGAGCAAAATAGGTCGGTTTCCCCTAGGATCAAGTTGAACTTCAAATCAATGTTGAACCAATCTCTCATGGGTGTTTCTCTAAATCCTATCAACTAGTATAGGCTAATCAGTCAAACTCTATTTTCAATAGCATTTGATGATATGAGAGGAGGGTATAATGACAATGAATGATGATATAAGAGAAGGGTGCATCCTTTACTTTCCTCAACTTGATGATATGATATGAGTTTACTATGGTCGGGAATGGTATTGTAGGGATTGCATATGTCATTGATGATTACAAGATAGGCCCTTCTTGTATAACATAGGCAAGGTGGATGGAGTATATATGTTGTAGCCTAAGTACTACACAAGGTGCTTATATTGAAAAGTGGAAAGTGAAGTTGAGGTACTTGTTGGTAATAATAGAGAAATGGAAGGTCTTCATTAGGGGTGTCAAAATTTGAACCGACCTGAACCCAACCTGAAAAATTCTTAGTTTGGGTCAATCTGTTTGCCAATCTGGTATGGTTCAGATTGACCCAAAAATCTGAAATTAACCCGGGTTGACTCGAATCGCCACCTTTGCAGCGAGCAAGCTCTCGTTGCCGTCGTTACGTCCGATCGTCCGAAAGAGGAAAGATCTGGTAGATTTACGAGATTTGGTCGAATAAGCACTCGAATGGAAGAACCAATGCAAGATATCTACCTTTGCAGTGATTGTGAGCAAAAGCTCCCATCGTCGTTGGCCGTCGTTACTCCCCAAAGAGGAAAGATTTATGGAAGCAGAAGAAAGATAGCTACTTTCGTAGTGAGCAAGCTCCAATCGCCATCGTTACGTCCGAAACTCGAAAGATCCGACGGATTTACAAGATTTGGTTGAATAAGTGCGTGAACGAAAGAAAGATATCTACATTTGTAAGGATCATCCAAACATATGAACATGCGAACAACTCGCATTCGGGTTGGCGGGTCAATTCGGGTTGACCCGAATCTGAACCAGTTCGGGATTGTATTATCAACCTGCTTCCATAACCGTGTCGGGTTCGAATCAGGTAAGTTGGCATCGGGTCAAGTTAGGATTGGATATGCCCGAAGACACATTTTAACACCCCTAGTCTTCACCACTTATTCATTGTTTGCTCACCAAGATCCGATGAGTCAAAAATAGTTGTTGGAGAATGTTCATATTTATTATTCTTCAAGACTCAAGATACTATGACATTATAAAAAATGTTACCTTGTGGGATGAACCCACATCTCCACTGCAACTGAGAGATAATAAAGAAAAAAAAAAGGCAATGGTGAATTTCCACTAAAAGGTCGTATGCACGTTCATCAAGTTTTTAACCAATTCAAACTTTCACAAAAAGATCACTAAAAAAATATGAATGATAGTAAAAGGTCTAGGTGTTCAATGCATTTGAAAGAGTTCAAGTTTGGATGATTCACTAAAGAGAAAAAGTACAACCGCTCAATCAAATCTGAATGACATAAGACTTAAGCATATGGGACAATTTAGTTCTTAATGGATAAGAAATTATAATGTGTGATTATCAGACTGTTTGGAGGTTAATTAGGATGCATCACGTTATCCGGACGACACGAACGCTACAGTGAATTGGTGACGTGACACATCCTGATTGATCTCCGAACGACATCTGATGACTGCACGTAATAGTTTTGCCTAATGAATAGACAGCCAACCTCCGAGAGATTGAGGGGCTAGCCTAAGAGAAGAAAGGAAACAATAAGAGTCAATACATAATACTTTAAAATGTTTTATACACTGACCTACGCCTAGTATAAGAGAAAGAGAAGAAGATTTCATGATTTAAATAAAAAAATCTTATAAGCTTTTTCTTACATGATAATGAACTTGCTCATAACTTCGAAGTTCAGGGCATAAGATCAATATTACTTAATTAAGCAGAAATTTTAAGAAAATAAAAAAAAATATATTATAATCAAATGGAATTTATTATTAAGGAAAAAGATAATTTATTAAGGTGCTTTTTTAATGCTTTTAAAAATAACTTTTTAAATTTTTTTAATTATAAAATTTTTACTAAAAATTCATTTTAAAAAACAGTAAAAAAAAGTTTCCCATATGAAACCCAATACACTATCAAAAGATATATATTTTTATTAACAGGCCCCTCTTTCCTTCACTTGTTGATAAAATATTATAATCTTCTTGTTCTTAGGGAGAAAAATAGTTTTTATTTTGGTTTTATATTACACATTGCATTCTTTTTTTTTTATTATTTTATGAATAAATATTTCTACTTATTGATAACATAATTTAGTTACATTAATTATTCATATTTAAAAAGATCATTTACTCTTAAGAGAATATAAAAAAGGATAAAAGCTTACTAAAATCGCCCATCACAATTTTGTGTGGCTATTATTTTCTCATTATTTTTTAAGAATGTCTGTTATGAAAAGTTATCTTTTCAACAAGAGTAATTAAGTTCTTTTTCTCATAATAATTTTAAAATCAACTTTATAAAACGCTGCAGGTATCCCAAACAAATTCTTAGGCTATTAAACTTTACATTAATACATATCTTTTAAATATTATTTATTTAGATCCCTAAAGCTATTATTTCCATATACTTAGGATCCTTTTAGGACAGTTGCAGCTTTTTATAAATGTATTTTTATAAAGATGGTGTAAAAAAATTATTTTTTTAAAGTTACAGTAGAAAATAATTTCATAGCATAAAAATTTCTTGAAAACCGTGAAAACGTCATTGACAAACAAAAACTCTAATTGAGACCTAAAAAACAAAACAATAAAGCTATCCCACACGAAATTTGAGATTCATTACTGCTAAAAAATTTGGCTTTCGCAACACTTTTTATGACATATTGCAGCGGTTTAAACACCTACTAATTTATTTGCAGCGGTTTAAAAACCGCTGCACATCCGCTGTATTTGCTTTTGCTACAAAGGTTTTAGAAGCGGTTTCACAAATGCTGCTATAGGAAGGTTTTAGCAGCGCTTTTTAACAGGGGTTAAAACCGCCACTAAAGGATAGCACTGATTAAAAACAATATAATGCCAAAAAATTAAATTATTTGATCAAATTATAAATACACATAAATTTAATCCAAGCATATAACAATTTCAACGTTTCCAAAGTTCATAACAAAGTTCCTTAATTTGAATCTCCTACCAAGAAAGCATGGAAAAAGTATATCCTTCTGCATAAATACTTACATAATATCCACAAATCTTAGTCGTACAATTGAATAATATCCACAAATCTAACGCCTATGTAATAGAAGGCCGCAGGTACAATCTATGAGTCGAAGGAGTAATCTTTTGCACCCATCATTGGAGGAACATCCTTATAATTCTTCGGACCCAGCAGGCTAACGGCCACATTCTTCACAAGCTCGTACATTATATCGTCATTGACAGTTGGAGGGTAGAATCATTAATTCTCAAAGAAGTATACTGAAGCAGAGCATTTATATACACTATACTGCATTACAATGACCTGCAAGTCAAAGTTAAATGGCAGTAAGCGAGTGGCTATAAGTTAAAACTTCGTTTGGGATGGCTTTCTTACTGCTTCTTAAAGCAAATTTTTTATAAAAAAAATTTAAATTTTTCTACTAAAAAGTTGCTTTAAGAAGTTGTTAGAAAGTCGTCGCAAACAAAGCCTAAATCAGGTTGTCAATAGTTTTACCTGCATAGAAAATGAAGAGCTTTAAAAATATCTCGATTCCTACCTTCTCTATTCTTTGCTTGAGCTTATGAAAGCTAGCATTTGAGAAAGCTCTAAAAGTTCCGCCGAGGATGGTAGGCTCTGGAACCAGGTCCAGATTGCTCCCTCCGTTAACTTCTGCCACTAAGATAACCTGACAAGGAAATGAAAATATTGCTGATTTACACACAGCTCTCCTAGGCCTATTGGTTGAGAGCTTAGACTTTCAACTAAGAGGTCTAGGGTTGAGTATATGTGTATGCGTTGTGTGTGTGTGAGTTTACCTTAAATGGCCTAAATGTCCCAAAAAAGAAAATTTTGCTGATTTTAACATAAATCATCAATTTTTTTAATGCAAAAAAAAAAAAAAATCCACAATGAAAGAGATCATACCATCTCTTTAGTGTCCTCCACCATTGGCATGGGTTCATCAATAGGAAATGCAACATGCACTGCCTCATATATGGCATCACCAGTACATGCAAAACTTGTATCTTGGACTAGTTGGTTTCTCGCTTGAACTTCGATGCCGATAGGTTTGGCTCTAGTGCTGACATTCTGTGTAGGAATTAAAGAGTGTAAAAGAGTGAGATCTAATAAAGAAAAATGACGTTGCATGTTAAGTTCACTTTTCTTTACAACCTAAAGGCAGTCTTGGGAATTTTGAGCTAGGGAAGCAACAAACCTCCTAAACCATCATTTGCATATTTTAGCTAAAATGAGTAAAGTGATGAAAAAAAGTGGGGAATAGAAAAGCTGCTTCTGACCTTGTAATCGGTCTTCGGCCTACGAAACTCTGTTTGTTCTTCTCATCCCTGAAATCCACATAAGAACTTTATCAAATAATAACAAATAAGAAAGAATTAAGAAATTTGGGGTTAGATTCTGAAGTATAGTGGTCCTGAAGAAAAGAGCTGGAGCATTACTCTGCCATAACTTTCTTGACAATCTTAGGGGGGTAAGGAACGTTGCTGCCCGCGAGATGATTGATGTCCCTCAATGCTCTTCTGTTGTCGCTGCTCCCCATCTCTCTGCCATACTTCACTCCCACCATTCAAAAACCTTTTAAAGAAATCAAACTTAGGTATCAACCAAATAAATAAGATGGATCCACGACTTTCGGTACTGATTCACCGAGCAAAAACTCAAAGAAAGAAATTTTCTAATATTCAAGGTTTATTTCAAATTTTTGTGAGGGGTAAACCAACAACACTTCTGCATGCAAAACACTAAAGTCCATAGACAATATAATCACTTACCTGATATGGATCTCAGCCCTTATCGGGATGATTCTTGGCGATAGTCTTCCGATATTCGTTCTTGTTCGAGGACAGAGGCGAAAGCGACAGATGATGTCCAGTCACGACGAAGGCCAAGGACAAGGAAGGCGCTTGATCGAAACTATAGATAGAAGGGTAAACTTAAATCGATGGTCGGGCAAGAAGTAAGAAGCGGAGGATGAAGAGATTTGGAGTGCGGCGGCAAGCCGGGAGAGAAGAACGAAGTGCGGGAAGAAAAATTTGGGCGGGGCAACTGTCACGCATGTATAGAACTATTTAGGGCTAGAGCAATTTCGTATTTAATTTTGTTAAATTTTATAACAACGGATTAAATCGTTTTTTTACGCTATCTACAACAGCGGTTCAAAAAAAGCTGCAATAAAAGGCTGCTAAAAACTAAAATTTTTAGTAGCATATGAGTGTCAACATTAAATCTATAAGAAAATTATATAAGTATATATTGATAAGAAAAGGATAAGGCTATATTTTGAGAAAATTATTATGTGTGGAGATCAGATGTAGATTGTTATTCGGAGATCAATCAAAATGC